TAGAAGTTAAATTTTTTTTATGTTTATTTTTTTTTTTTTTTTCCCCCCCCCCCCCCCCGTGTGTTCTTGGACGTCTTTTGCAACAGCATGTATGCTTAATTGTTGGCTTGTTTTACAGCTGGGTGTGCTTGGTGAGTCACAGCCCTTTCATTGCCTGTCATTCATAGCAGCGTTTGGTCACATATCCTTCACAGTCTCTTATTTCCTGAAATGACGACTTTCATTTATACCTTCAGGATAGGAGAAAACCTGTATGGGTGCGGGGTGCTGTAAATATACGCACGTGTGTTTGATAATTAAAGGAAAAAAGAAGACGAGCAAGAAGCACGAAGCGCTCAGATAATGTGCCGTTAGACAGAGGAGAAAGCAACGCAGCCAGTTGGTGAAACTGGGAGGTACCGTGAATGTTTGTGCTGAGGTTAGCGTTATATGTGGAAGCATGTGGCTTGTGTATTTGATAAAGAAGAAGCACGAGCATCAGATTTAGGCCTCCGTCCCCGTGGCCTCTGGTTATTTAAGGTTATCTAACATCAAAGGGGAAGGAGCTGAAGGTAACTGCTTCAGGAATGTTGAAAAGACTGTAAATCAGTTTGATATCTGGGCACCAAACCCAGCTATTATTCAGCCTGTCAAATCCAGCAAACTCAATGCAGACAGAGGGGAAAGTTGGGTAACTGTTGTCATGGATTTGCGGATCTGCAACCCATTTGGCAGTTCATAGAGAGCTACAGGATGCTGCCAAGCAACACACTCTGTCCAAGAAGGCAGAAAGTCAGCTGTTATACAAACAGCATACCTCTTTCATTAGGATGTTTCTCCAGTGGGCACTGGAGCCAGTCTGTGCCCTGCTGCCGCCTCTGAAAGTAATCACTTTATCAGACGATACTTTCTAGTACATGCTTCTGCGTTTTTTTTTTCAAGATTCAACGAGGTGTTTCGAAGCTCTGCTTTTGGTCCTTATTGACACGATAGCATCAAGCAATTGTGGATTTGTCTTACTCACATCCATGGTATGAAACTCCTGTTGCACCACCTTTCAAAGGTGCTCTACTGAATTGAGATTTGGTCGAGGTGGAAGGGTAGTAAACTCACTGTCATGTAGGTATCAGTTTGTGATGATTAGAGCATTGTGTTATGGTGCATTAACATGGTGCAACCAGTGATTAGAAGATGAGCACACTGGTTAAAAAAACCTAAAGGTTCCCAACATATGCTAAAAAAAAGGAAAAAAAAAAATCTTTAAATCAAGTGCTTCACTGAAAATTTACAACCAACAATGAGGTTAAAGTTACAATTTAAAAACATAAAAATTCAAAATCAAAAATATACATAAAAACAATTGAAAAACAAGTAAAACGTGGTAAAGTTATGACAGAAAAAGGCTACATTTGATGTGATATTCACCATTTTAAGCAAATGGATCCTCAGTTGTGACTCAAACATCTGGAAGTAGACTGTTCCACAATGTTGGTGCACAAAATGTAAAAGAATGAAATGTAAAAAAAAAAAAAAAAAAAAAAAAGCCTGAAATGTTTTTACTACGGTATGCGATTTGCTAAAACCAGCTGCCACACAGACAGCTCATTCCTGCAGGCTGCCTCTTTGATGGACACGATGATCACCTTACAGACTGAACAGTCATCTATTCCTCTGTCAAACAAAATAAGCACATTTTTATGGCCACAGTCTACATTTCTTTTTTTTTTTTCACTTTTTAACATAAAAAATGGCTGTACATACATATTCATACTAATGCTTTATCCTTCATTTTATTTCCACTCAGTCTTGGGCAAAGTAGCTGATTCCGATTCTCGTAATGTTGATGTGTAAATGGATGGAGTGGCTGCTGTGGGATTGGCTGTTTCCCTGTTAACAAGGGCGCCTCATAAAGTGGCTGGTTAGGGTTTGTGTGTGTCAGGCCTGCTTTCACTTGGGCCCAAACACACTCCTCCTGTGGTCAAAGCCTGCCTCTCAGGGCTGCCTCTGCTGGTGGTAAATGATAAGCAACTGAGTGGCTGTCATTGGAGCAGTGGGTCAGTTTTATCACATCTTGTCAGCACTTCAACCCTTTGTCTCGAAGCCTTGCGTGATGATGAAGATGCAACGTGTCTGTTGGCATCAGCCTCCGTTCCTTTTCATAAGTTATTGTTCTGAATTATACAATGACATATAAAACAGTTACATGTTTATGAAGTAATTTATGACTGTAGTTGTTTTTAATTTGCATAATAATGCAGCTGAAGCTTGGGAGATTTTTAAGAATATGTTGAGTCATTTTTGACATACCAAACGTAATGAACAAGATTCCTGCCCATGCAGAAATAAAGTTTCTACCGCTGCTAATACCATTATTGGAAAAACTACACTCCATCTTTCATTGGCTTATAGAACCATCTTTAGCAGGAATTAGAAGTGGTTATTCCATATGACTTAATGATTCTCACACATTGCTGTGGGTAGTTTTTGCCCAGCATTGCTTCAGTTTCTTGTGGCTTGCGGGTATTTGTTTTCGCACAGCTCTTTTGAGGCCCTGCCACATCGTTTCAATCAGGTTGAAGTCTGGACTTTGACTGAGATGTTGCAACATGTCCCCCCCCCCCCCCACTTTGCGTTGTCAATTTGCTGCTGTGTTTGGGATCATAATGTAAATGAATTAAAGTTTGATTTTTGTCATTGTGAGGTTCCCAGGTTCTGTGGCTGCTAAAAAAAAAAACAACATTTTTGCTAAACACAGTGCTGTAAGTTATAATCTTCAATCTCTACTTTGGTGGATCCTGTTTTGGATGTCTTATGATTCATTCACAGGCAGCCATGCAAATCTAAGTTGCGCTGCCACAGATTTTCAGAAAGAAACAGCTCTCCATTTTGACCTTTTCTTCTACTAACATGTATCTAATCTGACACTTTTCCCATTAATTATTCTCCCCTCCCATGTAGACACCGTCTGTCGTCCCACATCTCTCAGATGAATGTTTATTGTCCAGGATAATTCCTGTTTGTTTACTCAATGTGTAGAATTGTCTCCAGCCTCTGTGTTATCAAATTTCAAGTCTCACACAGTTCCTGCTTCCAATTCAGAAAAATGTTTGATTGGACACATGATGGGTGGATGAGGACACAAATTATAGTTGTGTGGTTCTGACACAAGGCCAAACCCATCCAGTGGTGAGAAATGGGATAAACATTGTACACTTGTCTGTTTTGCAAAAAAAAAAAAAAAAAAAAAAAAGTCCGTTCCTACATTCAGTCGCTTATCTACTGCCTAGTCTTAAAAAATTAGCAAATCCTAATTTAAATATACAAAGGGACTGTTAACAGAATGTGAAGGATTCCCTAAAAAGATTTATTGTTTTTGCTAACTCTTCTGAGTGTTCGGTATGTTAGCATTTATCATAATTTATGCTCTCTGAAATGTAGATAAATAGTTTAATATCTCCCAGACTGAAAAGTAGACAAGTTAGGTCTGTGTTGCAAACATGCTAATCGCATTTGGTGGGTCGCTGCTCTACTGTACAGCCATTCTCAGCAGATTCTCTGAGGATGCATTGTTTTCCAGCTAAAAACGGTTTATTTGATTTGATCTAATGAAGACAGTATGGTGCACAGACTGTATGCTTAACCTCAAAGATCATTTGAAGGGTGACGAATATGTGTCCACAGACTGAGAGTTGTTCATTAAGCATGTGATTTGTGTATTTGATACAGATATTGTTAGCTGCAAGGTGACATGGTCCAGTATTGCGTTATGGTAATAATTTTTCAAGCAGTTTTTCTGTTTGTGGAGATCCGACTGTATATCTAGTCAGATGAAATGTCAAAAGGACTATAAAGTATGTTTCGCTATCAATTATACCATTATTGCAATAATTATTACAAAATAACGCTCAAAAAATGGTACCACTTTATCACCCTAGTAATGATAGGTGGATCAGGTATTAAATGCTATTAAAACAAACTTACAGTTTTTTTAATAGCATTGGTAAAAGCAGAATAAGTTTGTGAAGTCTACTTTGTAATTGTAACAATTATTACTTTTTGTTATTGTGGCCTTCGTGAAGTGACACTGGAAGTCCAACAAGCTGAAGCTACCATAATAAGAGAGTTGCGTGGTGCTCCTCCAGTTTTAATATTGCTCATGAAATGTTTTTAATTATTTGTTTTTCTTGCAAGTGAGGGAAGATTGCAGTATTTTTTCTGGCACCTGGTCAGTGGTGTGTAGAAACATCTGCATTACTCTTTTCAGATAAAACTCAAGTCACTCAGGTGATTTTCTAGCATCTCATTAAAATCACTTGAAGTAATATCAGGACTTGCAGCTATTTAAAGCCAAAGTACACTGTATATGACTGTTTTTGTAGTCATGAGTGGGACAGTTTTCCATACAAAGAATTGTATGTGTGCATGTGAAATCTTCTGCACAGCAGAAACCCTGATTCAGCCATCCACAGGAGAGCACTCTCACTCATTTGTTTCTTTTCCTGACTACCGTTTGACACATGGAAGAGGGGAATGCAAGAGACTGCTTTGCACTTATAAAAATAATAAACTGTATTCTCGCTTGTGTGTTTATTGCAGACTACTGGTTGGAGCGCCACAAGCCAAAGCACTGAATGGTCAAAAATCTAATGTGACAGGAGGAATCTACAACTGTGAAATGAGCTCCAACTCTGATGCGTGCTCAAGAGTTGTCTTTGATAATAACGGTAAGATAAGGCTTTACACACACATAGGGAATTATAAATACAGACGGTTGATCATTAAATGCGTCAAAAATGTTAATAGTCTCCTTAATATATGTTGGTACATTACTTTTCTCTCCCAAATCAATAAAAATGAATGAGTAAATTCACTTTGTCAATAAGCCCTCGTTTCGCTCACTGATTTATAGTTTTTTGAGAATCACCCTTTGAAATTTTTTAAAAATAGTTACCCTAATATCTTCATGCTCTTTTATTGAGGTTTCATGTACTTCAGCTTCTTTTACTGTTTTACTGTTCTTTTCTAACCCTGTTCACATTTTAGGGGTTGTAAAATAAACCGATTTTAATCACAAACTGTACTTGACTCACAAGCTCAGTCTGTGGAATCAACACATCAAAAGATATCCCACTTTTGGATTTGCTTTGTTATAAATTTTTTTGTCCATCTCTCGTCTTTTTTCTCTCTTTTCATAGAGGATTCAGAAAATGAAAACAAAGAGAACCAGTGGATGGGGGTGACAGTCAGCAGTCAAGGACCAGGAGGCAAAGTTTTAGTAAGAATCTAATTTCGTCATCACACTAGACCACACTGAGATCAACCAACTTAACACACACACACACACACACACACACACACGCACACACGCAAAAACATGTTCTTAAAGACAACAACTTATCCGTCCTCATCTCTAACCCCTCTCCCTGGCAGACTTGCGCCCATCGCTACAAGCGGCAGAGAAACGTCAACTCTCCTCATGAATCTCGCGACATCATTGGCCGTTGCTATGTGCTGAGTCAGGACCTAACTATCGATCCCAGTTCAAGTGAAGATGGCGGAAGCTGGCATTTCTGCAACAACCGGAACAGAGGCCACGAAAGGTTCGGCTCCTGCCAGCAGGGCCTCTCTGCTACATTCGACAAGGACTTCCACTACTTCATCTTCGGGGCTCCTGGAGCTTACAACTGGAAAGGTAGCTCAAATTTATGTCATACTTTTTCTTGAAGCTCGGTTTTGTTGACAGATGAATTTGCTACTCACTTAAATGCTGTGCCATATGTTTGACATTATGATTCATAAAAAAGCGCTTGGATAGAGAAATAAATAGAATTTGACAAATTTTGATTGCAAGTAAGATAATCTTTTTCTGCTTTTCTTCCTCCGCCCCCTGCTTTAAGGCGTGGTACGACTGGAACAAAAGAACGACACCTTAATAGATATGGGCATCTATGACGATGGACCATTTGAGGCAGGAGATGAGACTGAGAAGAAGCCTGATCTGGTTCCCGCTCCTCCCAACAGCTACATGGGTAAAATACGCAGTTATATTTACACCTATGTAACCTTTCCACATTTTCCCATGTTTCAACCAGACACTTTTATGGATTTTTTTTTTTAGATCCAGGAGTATCCTGTCCTTGCCACTCTGTGTTGGTCTATCACATTACCTGCTAATAAAATAGATTAATATAATGTTTTAAAAATGGCTGTGTTGGGACAAAATGTGAAAGATGAAAAGGCAGCAGTGTGAATAATGCAATATGATGCTGCAACAACACCAAATATGTCAATGTTACCAACTTACTTCCCTCTCATGTGAATTATTTCATAAACTGGTTGTTTTAGGTTTCTCTCTGGACTCTGGAAAAGCTTTGACCAACAAGGGTCAGCTGACGGTGGTGGCAGGAGCTCCCAGAGCTTATTTCAGTGGAGCGGTGATTCTGCTAAAGAAAGGTGGGGAATTAAGCAGGATCCTTGAAAAGGAGTACATCCTTAAAGGCGAGGGCCTGGCCTCCTCCTTTGGATACGACCTGACTGTGCTGGATCTCAACGGGGATGGGTAAGAGTGCAGAGTTAACCAACACATCCTTAACATCTGCTCTCACTGTAATTTTGACTGTACTCCTCTGAGTCTGTGATCTTCTTCTTTGTTAGCTGGGATGACATAGTTGTTGGAGCCCCTCAGTACTTTGAGAAGGACTCGGATATTGGAGGAGCTGTCTACGTTTACATCAACAAGGCTGGAAAGTGGAACGACGTCACACCAACAAGAATAGATGGACCCGCAGTTTCTATGTTTGGCCTCGCCGTGGAGAACCTTGGCGACATCAACCAGGACGGCTACCATGGTAAGGAGGCATTATTTGTGTGTGTGTGTGTGCGTGCGTGTGTGTGTGAGACGTTGAAGCTTACTGCCTTGCTGTCAGATTTTGCAGTGGGAGCTCCTCATGAAGACAGCGGTGCAGGCAAAGTTTACATTTACCATGGATCAGCCAGAGGAGAAATCACAGACAAGGCATCACAGGTACGTAAAATAGTGCAACGTATTTCGTAGCAGAAGCAGCCAAAGTACTGCACAGAATTATAAACGGTAAACTCACAAAATCAAAAAATAGGAAAAACACAGAGATGAGTTAAAAATGTCTGGCCTGAGCAGAGGTCAGACATTACTAGTTATCAACACCATCATATTTCAGATGATATTTGTTAAAAATAGTGTTTTTATCGTGACAAAATCTAACCAACATTTATTGTATCTTTATCTAAGATTGTTTTACTGTCGTTATAAGTTTACATGACGCAGTCAAATAAGTAACACTTACAAAACAAGGCAGTGAACAGCACCGTGAATTTTTTAATCCATGATGTCAGTCTGTTCTTTCTGTGTTTTGGGTTTCGATCTGTTTGATTCAAGTGACTCTTGAGACTATTGAAAATGTGTTCAGCTTATTTGTCAGCATGTCCACATCAGTGTTTTTTTTTGTTTGTTTTTACATTAAATTCTTAACAAGACACGTCTGATTTGTTTCACATTTTAAAACATATTATTTTTTCCATGTTTTAATGCTGAATTACCGACTTTGCCGTTGCCGTTCAACCTACCGTCATGTCTTTAGTCTTCAAAACAACATAGTTACTATTTTGTTTCCATTGGACACCAAATGGCAGATGTCTTTTTTTTTTATCCAGTAGGCAGCCCACACCTTAACAAAGCTTGTGTTTTAGGTTTTGTTCAGCAAGTCTGCTGGAGTGAGGCAGTTTGGCTATTCATTAGCAGGCAACATGGACCTGGACAAGAACTCGTATCCAGACCTGGCCGTTGGATCCCTCTCAGACTCTGTCTTTATCTACAGGTGAGAAAGTCAAAGCTGATACACTGATGGACTGCCGCTTAGTGTATTTGCTCAGATTGTTTGTTGTTTCTTCACAGAGCCAGACCAGTTGTAAACATCCAGAAGAAAATTACATTTTCCCCAAGTAGAATCAACCTCAGCCAGAAGAACTGTGGCAACACTTTCTGGTACGGCTGACTTGTTTGTCTCTTCTTCAGTCTGTGGAGGAACTTTACTTACCGCAAACCCAATTTCTTGAAAAGAAAAAAGAAAAATAAAGGTTGCTTGTTTTGAACAAAAGCTTCATTTTTCTTTATCTACTAAAACAAGGACATCTCTCTCCCTAGTGAGTATGATACACAATTTGGGGTTCATGAAAATCAGATGGTAAAGCAGAGAATCCCCATTTCTATTTTTCTTTACAAGTAGGATAAATTATTTCCAAATGACAGCAAAGTTTTTTTTATAGAATCTGTAAACTGGTGAGTCTTCATGTGTAGCTTGAAAACATTTCAGGAATCTCCCAGAAGGAGAGATATGTTTTTCATCTACTGGCTGAGGAAATTATCCATGAATGTGCTTTTCATGCCAGACTCTCCTACTGTCACCTGTCAACAACTAATCTGTTGATTGTGGAAAATACCTTTGGGCCTGTGTTTGGGGTTCAAACTAGGTTTTAACTATTATGCTTTTTTATTCTTTTAAATCTTAAAAAAAAAAACAATGTGCTTGCCAGATGTTTGCTGGTTCTGATTGTGGTTTAACTTTTCTGTGTCTACAGCTTGAAAGTAAAGACGTGTTTCACCTACACTGCTAACCCAAGCAGTTATGCTCCAAGACTAAGTAAGCTGACAAATATTGATGCATTTAGCAGCTTTGAGCAAAACTGTATTATGTTTTTGTGTTTTCTTTTAACAAACAACAAAACCCTGAAACCAAACTTATAGTCATTTGTTGATTTATCTTGCGCTCTGCACCCTCTCTCCTGTCCTGCAAAGCGGTGGGTTACTCTCTCGAGGCGGATGCTGACCGGAGGAAAACCAATCTTTTACCGAGAGCAATCTTCACAGAGCCTTCTGACTCTGATAGTGACTATATATACAAAGGGACCATTACCATGGACACAAAAGGAAGGGAACAATGTTTTACACGTCAACTTGCTATACAGGTAGGTTTACTTTCGGATTTGTGATAAAATACGTCCTGGATTGGAAATCACTTTGCGTTATGTTTCTCTCCCGCAGGAAAATATTAAAGACAAGCTGCGTGCAATCCCCATCGATGTTTCTGTGAATATTCAAGACGCTCAACGTAAACGCAGGCAGACCCAAGCTCCTCAGCTTTCACCCGCCCTCGACGCCAACGATGCCCAGCCAACTAGAAAGAAGGTGTTTGTTTACAGAAACCCGTCGTGTGAAGTGAATTATTCGAATGTGTCTGTAACGTTGCACTTTAACTGTGACCTGTTTGCAGGTGGAATTTATTAAAGAGGGATGTGGCAACGATAATGTGTGTCAGAGCAACCTCATGATAGGATATCGCTACGTCTACAGAACGACTGATGTAGATGAATTCACTCCTTTGAACATGTAAGCGGATATTCCCTCTTGTTTTTCACGTTGTCTGATTGTTCTAGTGGGTTTCTGGTAACAACCCTAACGCCAGAGAGAGACAATTCAGTGCAATCGATGGAACTGTGTACGTCACAAGGTCATCAGGGCATATATTCAAAAAGAACTTTGTTTTAAAGGGAGAATGGCGTGCCAGTGTTCTCATTCACCAGCCAAAAACACATTGCCCTAGAGGTGACGGTGACCAATCCACATGGAGACGACGCATACGAAGCTTCTGTGACTGCTAACTTCCCCAGTTCGTTGACCTATTCTGCTTACCGCGTCTCACCAGAGGTGTTGCATACTCTCTTAGCACTTTCTGTGTCATACAACACCAGGGTCCCGGTTTCTGGTGCTCAGTGTGCTTTATTACCAATTGCAGAAGCTGCAAATCACCTGCATAGCAAATAAAAACGGATCTATGGCTGACTGTGAGCTTGGGAACCCGTTCAAACGTGACTCCGAGGTAAGACATTGTGTTTAAATAACTTTTTAATTTCTTTTAAGCGCATCGGAAACTCTTTAACATGCCATATTTGATATATGTGTTTGTAGACAACATTCTACCTTATTTTGGGTACAGCGGGCATCTCTGCCAGCACTTCAGAACTGGAGGTCGAACTTGTGCTAAAAACGTAAATACCCGATTCTGCCTCTCACCAAATGTCGAACGTCTCTGACTTCGCTTCCTTATTCAGCAGTTCGCAAAAATCTGATGTTCAGTTGACCAGTGTGTGAACTTTTACAGGACGAGTAACCAGGATAACCTAATGCCCGTGAAAGCAAAGGCTAAGGTGGCCATTGTGTTGCAGATGTCCTTGTCGGGGTAAGGATTTTTGATGTACCGAGTCAGGCTACTTGTACCGAGTCAGGCTACTAACTGTGCGTCGCCGTCCCCACCAGACAAGTCCAGCCGTCTCAGGTTTACTTCAGTGGGAACGTCAGAGGTGAGATGGCCATGAAGACCGAAAGCGACGTCGGCAGCGCAGTCGCGTTCCAGTTCAGGGTGAGTGCAGAGAAGCTGCTTCTCACGCACGCTGTGTACACAATCTGTATTTGTATCAAATTGACTTCGTAAGCTGACATTCTTTTTTGACTGGATTGGAGAGTAACGCTTTCATCAACCAATCACAGATAGTCAACTTGGGAAAGAGACTGACAGAGCTCGGAACTGCCACCCTCCAAATAGAGTGGCCAAAGTCTACGAAGTATGAAAAATGGCTGCTCTACCTGATGAAGATCAGCTCCCCGGGAGTGGAGCGAATACGCTGCACGCCCAACGAAGAGAACCTTCTGAACTTGGTGGGTAAATATAGTCAGAGATTTAGTATTCGTACACTTAAATATTTTATGTTACCACTGTAAGCTTGACAAACGTTTAGAAAGTAGTGCATAGTTGGTAAAGTGAAAGGAAACCGTCTTCCCACATAGTTCCTGTTCCCTCCATCTGCCATTGCAGCAAATGGGAATCAAACAAACCTCTAACCGTACAGATAAAACAAAACTGCACACTGGTACTCTATTGATTAATTAAAAGACTTCTAGAGGAAACTAATTTGATCAGTTTTCAAGGAGCACTGAATACATTCTCATGCGACCCAGGTATTTTAAAATGTGCAGAAAACTGATTGATCTCCTGCTTCGCTTTAAGGAACCAGTTAAAACCAGAAAGAGGAGAGCAGCAGAAATCACAGGGGAAAGGACGGATTACGCTTTTTCACGCCTAGATCACAACAAGGAAACTTTGGTAACGAGACACAGCCAGTTTTTCCTCCACAAGTTAAGAGTGAAAGCTTCAATTATAACTCTGCTCTGTGTGTGTACAGTCATGTGACGGCACAGCAAAATGTGTGACCATCAGATGCGCTCTGGGGGGCCTGGACAGGAACGCACTCATCACTCTGAACTCCCGACTGTGGAATAGCACCTTTATAGAGGTAACCGGGATGGACCGTTCTAACTCAACGTCTTCATGTTGGTTTGAGATGAGCTGCAACATAAATACTTCTTGGGAAAAAAAAAACACATAGTTACAATTAACTTGTGTTATTTAACAAACTTAGTTGATGGTTGTAGATTTGTGTTATTGCACAAGCAAAGAGTGCTAGGTTGACATACCAAACATACCAACATAAGAAAATGTGACATGACCAAACTGAATTTAAATGTGCTTCTTTCATTAAAAGATTTCAAAGTCAAACATTTGAATTATAGTTTTCACACAAAACACCGTGCTTACTTTAAGTCACATTGTAGTCGTATGATGTTTTCACGGACTGTGAAGACAATGACTGAATTAAAGAAACGTTTCTGTGTTAAATTATCTTGGAAATGTGTTTTTCAAACAAACACAGAGGATTGAAGTCAGTGTTTCCCCCTCTTTTCTCTCGAAACAGGACTATCCCAAGTTCCATCATGTGGAGGTGGTGGTAAAGGCCTCTCTCCACGTTGGCAACGCGACGACAAACACTATGCTGAAGAACCCCGAGACAACAGTACAAACATGTTTTATGATACATGCAATAAAACAACCAGGAACATTATTTAGTTTTCTTTTATTGCATTACATTCAGTTTTCCATAAAACGTCTAAAATACTGTTAAAAAACCCGTATGAATACATATTTTACCATGTTTATACGGCACAATTCTGGCAACCACAGCTGCCGGTCCTTTCCTGTTAATTAGAGATGTGATTTATTTATTTATTTATTTATTTATTTATTTATTTATTTATTGTAGTGTATAGTGAAATATTTTTGAAGGATCAAGAACTCTCCGCTCTTGGATCGTCGATTGCAAACCACCCCGCAGTTAAATAAGATTTTACTAATATTTTGCTAATATATCCGAAACAAAGAACTAAATGTCAGATGTATCACAAGTTTTCGTCAATTGGTTTAATATGAGCGGAGCAGAAGACGACAAGTGAATTTTACATGCAATACGTAAGATTTTGAGAAAACATAGAACAGTGTAATGTTTTAAAGAGTATCTGCTGCTTCGCCTAGATAACCTACCATTACTAAAATAACGCTGATGATTTTTGTTTTTTTTGTTTTTTTCATTTATTTGTTTTGTTTTGGTTTCCAGGTGAAACTGACCGTGTTTCCAGAGAGGCGTTCTGCTCAGTATGGAGGAGTGCCATGGTGGATCATCGTGCTGTCCATCCTACTCGGCCTCTTGCTGTTGGCTTTGCTGGCTTTCCTTCTTTGGAAGGTAAAAGTGAGCTACGGTTCACGCTGTCCTAACTCGTATTAAACACATTCTGCACATGTACGTGTGTGATTTGAATGCTCTACACTTGTTGCACTGCTAACACCACGAGCAGAGCGACTGCAGGTAAAGTGATCAAACACGTTTCTAACGATTTGCCTCTCTCCAGTGTGGAGTCTTTGAGAAAAAGAATAAAGAGGACCCATCAGAAAAAGAGAAGCTGACATCAAATGCATAAAAAGTGAGAGGGTAACATATTGGATCTGTCAGATATTCAACTTTTTCCATCCTGCTCCGTCTTGCTGTAAAAGCGCTTCTTTCCAGTAAATGAGGCAGTGGGCAATTCTGGCTCTGCGAAAGATATACTAATATAGGCGCTGAATCACAGTGTCTGCAAAATAAATTATGCAAATAAGGTCTTCACACATGGTAATATGTGTATGGTTTTACTTGCATGGCCAAGGTGATGGCTGACACGCAACAACTGGGTTACCTATTGCTTTAAAGATTATCTCCACTCACTGATCTTTTCTATTTTTCCTCATTTTGTTGCCTCTGAAGATGCAGTCACTTGGTCTGCAGGTGTTTTTTGCTCTCTGTCTGAAATAACAGTGCTATTTAAATAGATCCCTTCTCCAGAAGTAGGCACAGTCAAATCAACATACTTCTTAGTTGATTAACTTAATTATGCTGTGCAGCAATCTACATCTGCTTTGCTGTCTCTGGATGTTGTCAAAAAGTATTTCTTACAAATAATTTCACGATATTCTTTTATTTGTCCGCAGTGCGGCTTTTTTAACCGTGCCAAATACGAGGACAAGGTTCCCAGTTACAGCGCTGTTCGGATCAGACGGGAGGAGAGAGCGGTACATTCTGCAAAAGACAATTGGGGCAACTTGGAAACGAAGCCATGGATGACGACATGGCATGACAAGGAACACTATTCCTAAAAACAACAACAAAAATCTATCACCTATTGATGGATCAGCAGAGTCCCATTTTTTTTTTTTTGCTGCCCCTGCCTTTGCACATTGAGGACTTGTAAAGTTGAGATAGAAAACTAAATCATTTGAAAATAAGTCTCAAGGACTGAATCAAACACTGTCGTTAAGGGACCTCGATGTTCTTAAGCTAAATGTATGAGATGGACTTTCTCAAAAGCTGCCTCTTAAGCATTTTGAGCTTATTCGGTTCATTCAGTGACGCCTAGAAATATTGGAAGTTATAAACTTTTATCATAGTGTTTTGTACATTTGAATGACTTGAAGTGTTTGTATTTATTCTTGCATGGAATATTTTGGTTTTTGTTTGAAGAGGTATGCAAGGTATGCTCCCAAAAGATAACACAAAAATAATCATTTCTGTATATATACCCTCCCCCCCCCAGTCCTCTAAGTCTGTCCCAGTGGTTGGCCTGTTTCCTCTGCCTCTGTTTGTACATATTCTGTATTTTGAGTGCAAGCTGAAAACTGTAACCAGGCCACAACAAAAACCATGGCGCCATGGAAATTGTGACAGGGACTTAAATGTGTTTTTGTTTTTTTAATAAATACTTATAACTACTTTACAGCTTTTTTCCTGCTCAGTTGTGTTCAAAATTATTGTAGCTCACAATATCCACGATGGGAAGCTTAGAAATATGTTTTCGCTTCAGATGCGAGATCAAACGGGAAAATTTGTCCAGTGAGGAGAAAAAAAAAAGATCAGCAGTTTGAACAACTGACCGCCTACCGACATATTGAAATGGTCACTATGTTAGCACCAGTCTTCCTGTAATTGGCCAAAGGTTGTTTTTTTTTTAACAAAGGCCTCTTGTAATAAAAAAACAAAACAAAACATAAAACCCTGATTGCGAGCACTCAGGTTAGCAACAAGACAAAAAATATTGGTTTGCTGAGGAGCAGCATGTCCTAACCTAATAAACTGGCCAGGGACTGTATATCTAATATGCCTGACATGGTTAAATATTTACTGTTTACTGAAACTTGTAATTTGTCTTTGCAGACAAATGATAACAAAGGCAAACGATGGTGTTATCACTTGTCATGGTAGACAAATGATAAACACTACATTGGGAGACCTGGAAATGTTGGAAGGTTGAATAAGGTTGAGGAATGCATGAACTTGTCAGAGCGCATGGTGATTACTATGAAAGTGAGAATATTATGACGGGTAAAAACAGGTCTGAGCATCTGAGATCTTGTTTCTCTTGAGAGGTAACGTCTGGATGCAGTGGAAGTTGCCAGACAAAAAAAAAAAAAAAATGGGTTTGACAAAAATGTAAAAACAGATTTTTGTTCCAAAACCCACCCAAAGTCCAAAGTAAACTGATAGATTTAAACTGGAACTACAGGAACATGATGGGAATACTGCAAAGAAGCACCAACTCATAGACACGTGTATGCATGTTAATGAATCATTGCTGTAGTTGCGTAAAAACTAAGATCAGGCATTTCTTATGACTTTAAAACTGACTGAAGAATGTGTTTTACCATGCAGGACACTGTGCTTCACTCACATGTCTCTATCCTCCAGTGCTGGACCTGCAGCTTTAAAAACAAAACTGGCCGAGGCGCAGGCGAGTCCAGGCGCAGCCTCTTCAACTCCTGTGTGTCTGTGTCAGAGAACTGGCTTCACATCATATTACTGCTCTTCTTCAGCACCCCAGGGCTTGTGTCTTTTTGTTTTTAGCTACAGAACATCCAGTACACACAGAACAGTACACATGGCACAACTCTTCACTTTAGTAAGATCTCATTTAATACAAATATTTATCCGCAGGTAGGACATAGTTTAGGAGGACAATAATGTGATTTTTGGGAAAACCTCAAACTGAAATTCAGAATATTTTTTTCAGAAATATTCTGAAACAAAAAACCCAATGATAAATAGAGGAGACAGCTTGCAAATATAAAGTACATCACAAAATATTCATAACTTACTTTATTACATTACACCCCCAGATTTTCTTTTCTTTTTAAGGGATAGACCAGAATGACCAGAATGCAAAGAGGCCCTGAGCTGTGGACAGCACAGATTTATTGACCATAAATCTGACCTCTACGTAAAAGTGGCAAGAAGAAAGAAAAACGCTGTTGAACGAATGCCATGGAATCCCAGTTAAGATTCATCACCACAAAACTCACAAATGTGTAACTTTCTGGCCTTGTGAATTAATTCCTGGTGTAATGTAAAACTTACATTGCATATAAATTGCACTACAAATTCATGCCATGCCTCTCAGATTTACATGTTTAAAGCGTTTGGAGAATCTCTTCACAGTTACGTGCTACTTTTTGGTGTTCTGTCACCCAACACCCATTTAATACAAACGTATTAAATGGCTGCACATAGCAGCCACAAATTAGTGCCACATATGGCCCACCTAGGCATGCTGGCAGGGAGAAACTACTGCAGTTTATTACTGTGGCGTCGCTGG